TTGAACTCTATTCTTCCATTCCTGAACAATAAATCAATATATACTTAACGTTCAATACTCATTACACAATTTGTTATTTTCAAAGAATTTTCGCATCTGATTCTAGAATGAAAATAAATCAACATGAAAACATACTTAAACCGTCATGATATAAGATGAGCGAACGCAATATCTCTTTTTTGTATCTCGATGTATCTTTTTTACAAGAAGAATCTATACTTATAACTTGAGAATTATGGAAAAAAAAATGATAGAGAAATAAAAGATTGGTTTGTTTGAGAGAAGAAGAGAAATAGGGTAGGAAAGAGTGGGAGGTAAAAGAGTAAAAAAAGAATAACTCTGTTCTTACGTGTTTACCACCATGATGATTATTATCACGTGATACCTCACGTGGACGGTGGATATCTTACCTAATTAATCTGATCGAAGGGAGTACAACTGAAAGTCTGAGAGGCGAGGCAAACACAGAGAACCAAGTCCAAACGCCAAGGCTCTAGAACCAGCACGCAAGGAATACCAGATTTATACAGCATCTTCCAATGTTTTTACTCTATCTCTATCTTCACTCTTGTCCAAACATGCTCGAGATAAGAAAAAATACGGTGATTATCTCAACTTAAAAAGCCTTTATGTAATACATTTGTCTCTGCGTTGTACTCATTTTAATTGATTATAAATTATCATTTTGTACGTAAATAATCTACAATATTTTAAAAATAGATAAAAATATTGACAACACTATTTTATGGAAAACCCGTATATAAATAATGCCTTATAATTCTCATTCATTGTCAGTATTTACGATTAGATTTTTCGTAATTTTTATTTATTTCTCTTCGTATAACGATTGACTGGCAGTTGGATTTATATTCAAATACATTGGGAATTTCCGAAGCACAAGAAGTGAGGAGAAAAGTAAACAGTTAAACTACCAAGTAATCTTCATACATGAGGTAACCATCATAATAATAGATATTACTACAAACGACGAGTACAGAAGTACTCATTAATCAATTTATATAGTATTATGAAAATTTCTAAGAAATAAAAAATTGTATATTTTTCCAAGTAGACCTAATTAAGGTAGCATAGATGGTAAAGAAATATTCACTCAGTAGAAACTGAGAGATTTTTGTATTGTATGATTTCTTGTTTTTTTATTGAAAAAAACATCAGGAACTGGATTCCATAATTAAATTAAAAAAATTTTAAAACATACAAAGATTCAGACACTATTAAATTTTTTCATTACAAAATCATGTAAATCATTCAATTAATCAAAAAAATTGATTACTATTTTTTGCAATCATTCAACTTATTCAATTTATTTTTGTGAGAAAAATTATATTTTCTTAAAATTCTTATTTAATTTTTTTTCCATATTAAACAACAAACTATAATTAAAGAAAAAATTTTTAACATTTAACTTGAAATTATGTATAAAATATTTTTGTGGCAAATTATCTGTATGAAATTTTCGTACTGATCTATTGTTGACTCCATTGTTAATCATCGACTGCAAAAAATCAATAAAAAAAGATTACATGAGCGAATTTTTATTAATTGGTTATAGAACATGCTTCAATAATAACATTTCTTCTCCTTCAAAAATTAATCTTACTACTAGCTCATAAAAAAATAGCGTGGATATGTATTTCTTAATGTCGTGTGAAATCATTTTTATAATACTCTATTACCTTCTACACAAGTTCTTATTTTTATTTAAATATTAAATATTATCTACAGTTATTAATACAATGTCATTTGGTATTTTTATTTTTATTTTTCATTGTAATAGTCAACCTTAAAATAAAGTATCAATGTTGTTAAAAAAAAAATATCAGTAGTAACTGATTTAGTTTCCTCAGGCTGACCTACATGTAAGCACAGTTAAGTTAGTCGAATTAGCATAGGACTGATTTCGATGCCATTACATAGGCATAAACTTCTTGGAGTAACTGAAGTTGACAAAGTTCACCATTACCATGTCAACAAACAAAAATGGCAAAAATTTACCTTTTTAATTCTTTTTATTTGGTATATCAAAAATCTATTACTCTTTAATTAATGTTGATTTAGTAGAAAAACCAATAAAAATTAACTCACTGGTCCAATCTAGACTTCATTAGTACGATGGACAAAATTTTATCTTGATTCGTTTTTCTAATTTATTCACTTATTTGTTAATTAATTTGCTACCTTTGATACATACTGTAGACACTAAAACGTACTTTATTATATGAAATCAATAGAGCATATCAATGTTTAAGAATTACTAATACCCTAGTAAATTTTAGTATTTGACATATTAACATGATTATTTTTTTATATTGATAAAAAAGTTTTAACGACAAAAAGATTATTGAATTATTTAACTATAATAATCTACTTTCTTAATTGAAAAAAAATACTAGAGCAAAATTTCATTTTAAAATCAATAAACTAAAAGTAAATTTCCACGACAAAATGAATATTCATGGTTTGGAGCGATATCCCCAACGCGGTTTGCGCTCACTAGAACATCTCAATTCTCTCCGATACCACGGTCGATTCTTGATGTTATCTCGCGAAGACCTCGCGGCTCTCCCGAGTGAGCGTCGAGTCGGGGAAGCGTAGTAGTGTGGACACTGCTAGCACAAGATAATGGTATCTGCTTAGGGATTCACCCGATAAATTAAATATCGATGGAGACCCGTGTATTGCATTCACTGATTTTAGCCTATAGGGTTAGAGGGACCTTAGTGTTGAACTTTCTTTTTCCATCTCTTCCTTTCTCTTGGTCTTAATTTTTTTCTTCTCTTCCTAACGTGTACAATGGCATACACGAGTGCTCGCGCATTCGCAACGACTGCCATTAGCCGTAATTATCGAAAGAAAAAATAATCGCGGTACATGGCACGCCGCTGTGCATCAGGGACGCGTGGGTGTTCTTCCCCATGCACCCTCCTACTTCTTAACTTCTTTCAAGTGAAATCACCAGCGTCCCCTATCGTTGAAGGTCTGTGTTAATTTATTTAAATTACCACGCGCGAATGGCATTTCACCGATTCGCCATTGTCAACGATTTTGTTATTTATTGTTTAAAGATATACCACGGTTTCCACTATTTTTCTCATTCTCTCCCTTATTTCTTACTGACCCAAACGTAAGCAGTTACGCGCTTTTGTTGCTCTCTCATTTCACCTGGACAAGCCAACGGAATGCGAAGGTCTTGTGTCTAGACTTTCTGGTGTTTCATGATGATAATCACGATGACACATTGAAAAAAATCTCAACTTAAATTTATTTCAAATCGAGTAACCTTCACTTCATTTGCTAACGAATGTATGGGCTTCTTCGTTGAATATACATTCGTTTTCATCACTGCAATTTTCCCAAGTGATTTGAGTGTGATGAAATATATATTGGCCAAAGTAGGGGATTTCATTTCTCAACAAATAATATTTATGCAAAATTTGTAATAACCTTTACTGGTGTGAGTAAAAGTAATATTATTAGTTAGTAAATTGAACTTATGTGTCGCACTTAGCATTGGACACTTTCTATATTTTAATTCTGATGCATCTTATTTGATGTTATGAATACTTAAGGCATTTAATGTAAGAAGTATTCCAACAAAGACAATCAATTATCTGAATATATTGGTTATGATAAAAATAAATGATTCACTCTAACAAATTTTCAAAATAATAAAAAATGAAACGATTTACTTTAGTCAAAAAATCCATATTTCTAAATGTTAAAAAAATTAATTTAAATAAACAGAAAAAATACATCAAACATTCAAGTTCATCACATTCTAATTTTACCTTCTATACTCAAAGTTGATTGATTTATCAAAGTATTTATTTACTTTATCTTTATTGTAGCGTATTATTTTTTACTCATTTGCAATAAAATTTCTACAAGATAAGCTTCCCTAAATACTCATTTTTGGAGTATTCCAAAGTATTACATGATTGTTCTGATAATCGCAACATGAAATATAGCTATTACAACAATACTATTATATGCAATCTTCTAGATTACTGATATAACTATCTGAATAGATAATGTATCTGTCTAATTTTAAACTTCACTAAAGTATTACTGTAATAGTAATATTGCATTTAATTTTGAATTAAACTTCTACTCATTGTTTCTCCAGCAATATTCACTTTCAATTTTTTTTTTTTTTTCAATTGAAAAATATTACCTATAAATTCTAAAATAAATCATAGTACACACTGTCGAGATAATAAATTAATATCTTCTCATCTAAAATGTTTTAATTAAGCTTAAAAATATCAACTAAATTTTCATTTCACTCATGTCTGTACTATTGATAAAAATAAACCTTTAGAATTTATTCTTGAACAAAGATCAAAAATTTTCGCCCTTACTAAAACAATAATTTGTTTATCTAGAGTTTTTGAAACCTCACAATATCACGAAAAAAAATGATGAATAGTTAGTAATAATAGTATGATGAATATATAAAATCGAAAATGATTGCCGATCGCAAGATTGAAGGGAATCATTTTGCTCTTGCGACAGTTGTCATAAGTCACTCGACAGCATAACATTACGAGTGTCGATGTCCCTCTAATGAATACTTTATATGTCGTTGAGAATGATTAATAGTTAGATGGTGGCGTTAGAGGAAAGGAAAAAAGAAAGATTAAGTGTAGAAAGAAGAAATAAAGGAGATCCATGGAAAAATGTCTTTGTAACCAACCGTGTTTCTTATTATTAATATTCAGACAAAAAAGATGCTCTCCCACACTTGATGACGTCCATAAAAATAAAATGCATGAGAAGAAGGACGAGGTGGAGAAGATGAAGAAGATTGTTTTTTTACCAAAATGCACATAAAATTGTTCAAATTTTTAATGTACAAAACACAACATACTACAATAGATTATACATATACACAGTAAATGTTTACTAAAATTTATTCAAAACATAAAAATGTACTTCTAACATTACTAAATTATTAACCTAGTGATTATTTATCATCACTCTACCAAAACAAAGAATAAACAAGAATTTTATTTTATATAATTATTATTATTATTATTATTATTATTATTATTATTATTATTATTGATAATAATAATAATAATAATAACTATGTTATAAAGTGATAAACGAATACTATTTATTTATGATGTTGCAAATGTTTCACGAGTATTTTTTTCAATCTAAAAACTTTTATTACCCTAGAAACGTTTGCAAAGCATCAGACGCCTAACTTACAGCTTTTAGAAGCATCTCTGATCAACATCTGGCTTGATAAAAAATTGAATTTACGAGAAGCATTCATCCTTCCAAAATAAATCCTTCTATTAATTGATTAATTAATGCTTCACTTGCCGAAGTTATACGATTTACCGGAAAAATTTATCATGTCACTAATACTTAGAACTTTGAATTATTCTCCAGAGCATTACGTAAAAAGGAAGTGACGTGGGTTGTCCTAGACTTGGCGCCTACCACAAACAACTTTATGAGATAAGGTTAAAATAATTCTACCATCATCAAAGTAATGTGATCATTTGATTCATGTTTGTTTAAATGATACATATAGCACAATGTATATCAAATGGTCTAAAATCCTTCGAGATGCTGATGACTAACCAACTGCTTCTGAGACATACCTGGTGCTATTTCTAACGAATGATTGCAACTGCTGGGCTGCCCCCTAATTAGTAGAAAAATAAATCGTTGATTCAATTTTGATCGAAAACAATATCTTACAGATATTGATATTATAATAATTGAAACGAAAAACCACTATGATGAACTGTGAAAATGTTTTTTACAAATATATTTTTATACATTGACAACTGACAATGATTTCTAATTATTTTTATTATAATAAACTTATTTTCGATTGTTGTTTTTTGAAAAATCAAAATTTAAAAAATTAAAATTTAAAAACTTATAGTTGTGTGTATTTACATTTTTTTAATGTAACTATTATTGTCTTTTTGAAGAAAGAATTTTTGAGAATAACGGAACTTTTTTACAAAAATACGAATCAGGAAACTGGAATTTTCAAGACTAATAATATATTTTTAATACCATATAATCTATTAATCAATATTTTTATTTTTCATGCAAATTAGTGCGATAATAAAAATATTTAATTTCCAACTTTTTTAAGGAATAAAGTATTTTTTAAATTTTTAATCATCCATTTCTGAATACGATCCATCAATCAACTACTCTATTTGTTCTAAATTTTTACGTATGAAATCTGATATATTTTTCTCTCCAGGAATGTAACAGAAAAACTATCAAATCTATCAATAAATTCTTTCATGTTTCATGATATCTTAAAAAAAAAAAAAAAACAAATTCTTCAGCTTGTCACAGTGGTGTTTTCCTTCAAACACTAATATACCGTAATCGCAGCACCAAGAAATTGGCTAAATAATCTAGTAGCTCCTATAGCAGCTGTGAGTACTTGATTCCTCACCCCACCTTCAGAATTCTGTTCTGAATTTTCTGGCCGTCCTAAACCAAAGTTAAAGTTACTGAAGAGAGGAGGAGGATATGTAGAACTCTGTGCCTTAACAGTTGGCCTCGGTCTCGGTGTTGTGGGCCTTTTTGAGGACGTTGATATAATTTGAGGTCCAATTGTTGTTGTGGAAGTAATGCTAATACCCTAAAGTATCAATTGGTCGATATTCGAAAAACTTTAAACAGCTATAAATTGATTTAAAAAAAAAAATTTCCTATTTTACACTTACCTGAAGTGGCTCTCGTAGGTGATTGGAAGAAGTAGACGGTTTAATGCCTTGTGCTTTCAAAAGTTCTGCTAATAATACTGCATTTTTAGAAGCATGGTCTTCTGTTGTTGCTTTTGGAATTTTCACCTTTGCTTGACCACTCAAAATTGCACGCAAAAAAACTTCGTCATCATTTGAAAGAACTAAAGATTCCTTTTTGTCCCCTTTTTTAACTAAACCAAAAAAAAATATCATTTTGTATCATTAGTTTATTTTTTGTAAACTGGATAAAAATGAATTTTATTCAAAAATAAACTTCTAATGTAAATAATTGATTTCTTAGACATAAATGATTGATGCTTCAGACATTTCATAACAATATTCATTCATGCTTCGTTTCATTCAACTATAAAAATTCATTCATTAAATATTAAAAATTGGTGAGCACAAGATTTCTCAATTAATTGCACACGAATTTTCATGCTAGAGAATTCAAATCATCTTTATTAGTGTTTCTTAATAAATAAACTATAAAATACCTCTTTCAGAAGCTTCCAAAAGTTCCAACAAAAATTTAGCATCTTCTTCCGGAGAATATTTAGTTGTTGCTTGAGGACTAGTAGATTTACTTCCAGATACTAATGAATTAGAATAATCTATATGATTAATTTGTTCAGATGCAGCATACATTTCCCTTGCGGCTGTAGTAGAAATTGGTTTTGGAGTCGTTTGTACCGGTCTGAGAGTCGTTTGAATAACTTTCTTTAGAGGTTTTTGTGTTGTAGATGTTGGAGGTGCAAAAATGTTACGTCCAAATATTGCCTGTAGTAAACTGGCTCCGAAACCTAATGGTGCTTGTGTTGTTGTCGGAGGTGGTGCAGGTCTTACAGCAACAGGCTTTCTAGTTATTACTTTAGGAGTTACTGTGGTAGTAAATGAAATCGTAGGAATAGTAGTACTTGATGTTACAGTATTTAAGATGGTAGCAAGATTGGATGATTTAATTGTCGGGGGATGAGTTGGGAACGTATCAAAAATAATTTGAGAAGCTGAAGGTGTCATCGTAGATGTAGTGGTTGTTGAAGTAATACTAGTGGTAGTCTTGGTACTTATTTCAGTTTGTTTGGAACTGGTTATTGAAGTGACGTCAGTCACTGGTTTCCAAGTGAATGGTTCCGTGGTCGTGGTAGCTGCTACTGGTTTTTTCGATGTCGACTGCAGTAAATCGATTATTATCGGCGGCGACGAGTGACCGAAACTTGCAGGTAAGATATCCAGTGAATTCGGCGAAGCATTCGATGGTTGAATGGCTTTCGGAGAACGCGTTGGACCAGCTTGACTAAGAGCTAAAGACAAGATCTAAAAACGAAAAAAAAAATTTGTACAGTTACGTACATAATTTATTAGTAAGCCAGAGATAAATCATTTCTCTTGCTCAACTAATAACGTATGACATTTTATGTTTATAATCATTGCTTATCTAACAAGTTAAAGTACTTTATATTTAAGCTACTCTATTGATTAATTCTTTGGCCATAAGTTAAACGCCTTCTTTTCTGGATACAAGATAAATTTTTCATATCGATTTGAGTGGTTTATGAACAAAAAATTTCAACTTCGAGGGGAGGCGGAAAAGTTGACGTCATCCTTGTTATCACGTTCAATGTCAATAGCCCGTAAAACGTTAATTATTATAGCAATCTGCCATGAAACAATCCGCATAATTGCGGTACAAAAGATAAAAAAAATGGAAGCAGTTAAATCTTCTCAAGCTCCTCACACACGCGACTGCATGTCGTGATAAAACGACTGATATAAAAATAGAAAAGAGAAGGAAGGATACAAAATACCTTACGGGCATGATCTAAACTATACGAGAGGTCGAAACAGTTGGCAGGTGACCTCGAATCGTGCAATTTCTAGGTACACATGTATGAGTACAAAATACACTAGAATCTTCACTTGAAGAAAATGATAAAATGTAATAGTAAATCACGGTAAACAAACATATCTAATGTGATTTTGCAATAAACAGATGGGATTAGTGATTGGTAATTGATCTTGATCTTTATCTACCGTTAGCTGTCTCCAACTTCAATTCTGTCTGATTTCTACTCAATATTTAATTTATTCTTGATGTATTACAAAAAGTAATGAATTGCACTTTAAATGTTATAGAGCTAGTGATATATTGTAGTTCAAAGTTATATGAAATTTAACTTGGTGCAATAATTACTTGTGCCATTAATTCATTCAATAAAAAATGATGGATAAATCAGTGAATGTTGAAGTTGTCTATAGCGTCAACGTATGAAGGCCGACGGCAAGGCCGTATCCGTCCGTTCACCGTGACTAGTCGCAAAAGACGATAATAGCTACGCTTATAGTTATCATATTGTGTTGGCGTTTCGAAAGAAGTGCACGACCCGAGATAGACCTGTGTGTTTACTATCAATTGATCTACCCACCACCTAGGCTCTTTAGAAACCGCGCGACTGATCTATATGACTCATGCGGGCGATGATTATTTTTTCGTTTCTCGCTCGAACGCTCCCGAGCATAGTCTTAGAAATTGCTAATAACAAGTCCCAAATGGCAGATATAGATTACTGTTGAGTAACTCTCGAGATAGTGAGAATGGCCAACTCCATTTCAATTCGATTGTCGCGATAACCAGAATCGTCGTGTAGAAGTTACTTACCTTGTTTGCTAACAACCGCTCGACCTCGGTCAACGTCTTTGGAGTAGAACTGATTGAATTTGGCCGATAATCTGATTCCAGCTAAAAGCCAAATATAAACATTACTCATCCTTTTCATCAGATGAAAATTATTTTATAATTTCATTATAAGTATTTACTTACTAAAGTATTGAGAAAAGCTAAATCATCGAAAGTAGTACCGAAAGACGTCTGCTTAGGAATGCCTATTGTAGTGAATAATGACGTTGTAGATGTACTCATCGTACTAGTTGTTGAGGCAGCTATCGTTGGCGTAGGAAGAAGCGTTGTTGTCATCATAGTTGGTGCGCTATTTGTCATTGTGGTTGTGGTCACTGGCCTACTGTTAGTGGTAGATTTAGTAGTGGATGTAGTGGTTGTTGGTGTTGTCATAGATGCACCAACTGTAGTTGATACAGTGGGTGCATCATTGGTGATCGTGATCGAAGTGTCTCTTGCCAACTGGTTGGCGTTCAACAAGGGGGTGAAGACCTCCAAGAGTCGATTTATGGGACGCGCCGTGATCGGAGATCTCGATGAGCTCGGTTCGTCCTGTAACATAATTATGTGAGCGACGATGATAATATCTACATTGGAATGATCGAGGCCTTTCCTGGGCCGGCAATTGTGATTGTATTGGTAAACACTTACCAGGGTGTTGGACGCAACGGATGCTCTGATGATTGGGGACTCAGTGGTGATACCAAAGATCTGATCAAGAGGGTCTTTCCAAGGGAAACCTGGCGGTGCGGTGACCCGACCTTGGACTTGATTGTTCGGAAGAATATCCAAAGGAGATATAGAACTGCCTGGCAAACCTTCATTTATTGCACTCTGTAAATGTACATAAATTTATTTAAAAATTAATTTTTATTAAAAATATATTCTAAAGACAATTAAGAGTTGAAAGTAATTAATTAAATGTTCTATACTGACTGCCACTGAATTTATCTCTACACTCACGACCCTCGAATCATTTTGCGCTGTGTCATTAGTCCAGTAGTTGATGAACTTCTCCTGAAACATCGAAGCGCCACCGCAGTGGCCAATACACTAATGCCGATTTGCATCAACCGTAAATCACGTACAATTTTTTGATTCTTTTTCTTTCTACTTACCTGTCCGATGTACACGGTGCTGCGTTGACCTCCGGCCTCTTTAGTCCTGCTGGCCTTGTCCCTTTCTATGTCCTGAATAATTCGACCACCCTGCGGATTGATGCTAGAGGGTGTCACACCCGATGGTGGTCGTAAACCTCCTGGAGACGCATTAGTTATCTATACATAAAAATAATTTATCAATTTTCATTACACAATGAATTATAATAATTCATGATTAACATAAAAAATTTCCCATCTTCAATTACAGAACATTATAACAGCAATAAAATTAACTTATTGATTGTGCGTACATGCGAAAATGAAACTTGTGCATCAAGTGCATAAATATATACAATTTTTTATAAAAAAAAAAAAAAGATTATATACAAGTTTTATTAAACATATGAGTATCAAATTTCGATATTTGATTCCTGAAAATTAAAGCAGACTCATTTAAATAATGAATGAAAAAGTAATTTGATCTTAAGATCAAAATAAACAACAGCAAGTTAGCGTGAAAAAAGTAACAGAATTTTAAGCGTTAAAATGCAGACACATTATAACAATTAATATAAGATATTAGAGAGAATGAATTAAAAAAAAAAATTCCAGTAGTATGAAATAAACGACAGAGGTACCATGTTTGTAGAGGAAAGCTGGGTACTAACAGTACCGATGCCGGGCATTAAAGTGGGATCACCAAATTGATTGGGACCATCTCCGTCAGGACTGAGGGCGTTATCAGATAATCCAAGATCAAGTTGACTACGAAAACCATCAGCTTGGCCACTGGATTGGGCGAATATAGATCCTGTTGGACGGTTATTAAAGATCGCGGTATTCTGGTTATTCGTGCCTTGGTTAGCCTGGTTATATTGAAGAATGGGTTTGGGCCTGTTAGTGGTAGTACTGGTGCTAAGCGAAAAGACAACTTCTACCGGGTTCGTCGGTGGGTCCGGTATTACCGTTCCATTAGGAAATTTGCGAACAAGTTTTCCATCTGGGTAGATTCCAAAGATGACATAAGGGCTGTCGACATTTCGTGCATCAATAAGGTTATCCTCTGGTCGTTTGCGCACGATAGTTTTGTTTGGATAGATTCCATAAACATGATAATCGCGTAACGGCATTCGAGTTGATGAGCTGGAACTAAGTCTTGGAGCTGGAGTCATTCGGGAACTCCCAAAACGACCCATGTATGGAGTTGTTGAAAAGGGCGTGGTTTGCATAAATGTAGCCATAGATGCCGTGGTGCTTTGTATTGTAGATTGAGTTGTTGCTTCTGATGTTGATGGAGCTATTGTTGTTGATTCCAATGTGCTTGTTGTAGTCTGAGTACTTGATGAGGACGGAGAAATAGCGGTAAAGGAAGATTGAATAGAATTAAGTGAAAGAATAGTGGATTCTGGAGTGGAAAAAGTCATTTCTGATGTTAATGGAGGTATTTCTGTGGTAGATAAAGGAGTTTCTGAAGTTAAAGGGATTTCTTCTGAGGCTGATGGAAGCATTTGTGTAGTTGATAAAGGAATTTCTAAAGTTGTGAGACGAGAGTCAAAGGTAAGGAAAGGAGTTTCAGTGGTAGTTTGAATGGTTGCTTGCTGGAAACCTGCCGTCGTTTGGGCGGTTGCTGTTGTGTTTTCCTGGAAACCGGCAAGCGAATTAGGATCATCAGTTGCAAGGGTTGTTTCTGGCGTTAAGGTACTTGAGGTTGGATTAGTTGTTATCACAAAATCACTTGGAGTTGTTATGCTTGAATTTAAGATTTCGATACCAATGATTGGTTTTAATGTTTCTAAGGCTAATGTTGTTGTTATTAATTCGTTAATGGCATTAGTTGTATTATTAGTATCATCAATATTTGATAATGCATCTAATGATGATACAGGTTTTTCTGTTGTGCTAAAAGTTAGTGTTATGTTTTCTACCTGATTAGTTACATCATCCTGGGGAGTTGATGTTATTTCCGAGTTTAATGATTGTGATAACGTTGTTATTTCAACATCCGGAATTTCAGTTTTTAATTCGTTTGATTCTAAACCGACGGTCATATTTGAAAATTGAACTGTTGATAAATTATCTAAACTTGTAATATTGTCAATCGAAACTTGAGTATTTTCAATAATACTTTCCATGGTTACATTCTGTAAAGTAGTATTTTCAACCGATTCATTACCTCCTCCCTTTAATTCTAATTCTAATGTTGAATTTCTATCAGTATAATCTAAAAATCCACCTAATAATTGAGCACCATCATCAGAATTATTTTGTACAGTATTACTTTTAAGCTGGGAAATATTGTGATTTTGGGAAACAATATTCATCAATCTTATCATCATTTGATTTAGTAAAGTATCATTAACTATATCAAGACTATCAGTTGTACTTTCAACAACTACTTCTTCTGTTGTTATATTAAATTCACGATCAGAAGCAGGTAATGTTGTCATCTCAATACTCATAGTTGTTTCATTATCAAAATTTCGAGATTCAGTTGTCATAATCGTATTTTCCATCATATCTTGAATATCTTCTGTTATCTGATTCATTGGAGTTGTTGTTTCTATTTTAAAATCTTCATTTAAAGCTGTAGATGTGGAAATCACTGTATTTGATAATATTTCAGATGTACTTGAACTAGGATTGGAACTAGTACTTTCTACTTCAATTGAATTTGATGATGTCATCGATACAGTAGTACTTTCTATATCTGAAGAAGTAGTTGAATTATCTAACCTTGCAATAATAATTTTCATTGATTCATTCATTGAATCTTTACGCTCAGTAGTAGTACTTTCAGTTATAACTGAAGCCTTTTGTGTCGAGAAAGTCATTACTTCAGGCTCAAAAGTCGTGCTGACTTCAGTAGTAATCATTTCTGTAATCGAATTCTGATCTAAAGTTGAACTTTCTATTATTTCAGCACTAGGAGGCATAAAAGTAACATCAATACTAAAATTATCTGTTGAAGTTGGGATGGTACTGGAATTTTCGATAATAATAGTACTGGAAGAAGCCGAAGACGCCTCAGGGGTAGAAACTTGATTGGTTTCTGTACTAGAAGACATCAAGATTGCATCAGTACTCAAAATTTCGGAAGTTGCAGTACTGAGAAGAGTAGAAGCAATATTGGTACTAGAATTTTTAATAGTTTCAATGCTTGAGAAAGTGGAAGTTACATCGTAACTAGAATTATTTACAAATTGAAGGTCAAAGGGGCCTTGATTCATCTCCGTATTCTCAAGTAGACTCGTATTTACTTCCGGGGTCTGTGTAAGGTCTGGCTGAGTGATAGTTGATGTGTTTAGGGTCTGGGAATCCGTTACCACAGTTAAACTATCTGTTGTAGCTACTGGATTTGCTATGGTTTCAGTGGTCGTGTCATTGTTAGAGTTACTCGAAATGTTAGAATCTTTATCAATGACACTGCCAGCTACCTGGGCAACTCTATTAAGTTGCTGTTGACGTTCTTCATCAGTAGCTTGATTTACTTCATTGTTTATGCTGACAGTCTCCAATGCTCGATAAAATGTGACTTCTTTTGAATCACCTAGATTTGAAATTGAGACGGGTGACGACGCTTCGTCCTAAAAACAAAAAGGTGGTGCGTGGTGCTGTACATTCAATTGCTAATGTGCTCATGTGATACGTGTGTAATTTACTGATCAAAAGATTTTTCCTACCCAATAACATTTTTAAGTCTATAATTATTATCGTCTCCTCGATTAAGTTTATTTTTTAATTATAATTAATAAACTAATCAATTATTTTGTCATTAAAAATCTCTTCTACACCTGTTCACGTTTCGATCTCATATAAGCATTAAATTATTGTAATTTGCGACTGCAGCTCCAACTATATAAGTTTAATTCAAGTTCTTTATTGGCTATATTTCATCCACCCACATTGCTCTAGATCTCACGGTCTAAAGTTACAATAGAAGAGTATTATAAATGTATTCTTTTCTTGACGTTTTGTTTACGAGTCCAATAATAATGGGTATAAAGCAAGATCAAATATAACATCACACTGCAATTTACTTTCACTTCTGAATGCTAAGTACATGAAAGACCTTGCTAAGAATTTAAAAATGAATAAACATTATTTAAACGTCATAAATAGATTTTAAATCTATCCAAATATATAGAATAATGGCTAATATTTTATATTTATAGTTTACATCATCATGAAAAAATAATTGTTATCAAATGAAAAATTTTTAAATGAAAAATTATGACATTTGAAAAACTTAATATGTCTCTAAAGTTGGTTTCCAAGAACAATTTCAGACCTACAAGCTTCCCAACATAAATTATAGCACCTCGACGATCATAACTTTAACGTTAGTCCTCTATTTTGCAATATTTTACAGTGACAGTAAAAGAGAGTTGTGCTTGTTGCTTTCGCTTGACAATATCACTCTACAATTGTGTAATAGAACATCGTCTAGTCGTGACAATGATTTACTTTAAAATAAAAATAAATTTGGATAGTTAAAAGTTATATATAAACAACAAAATAATTTATAAAATGAATGTGTTACATTCGATTAAAAAAATTTAGTTGTAGAATAAATATTTTGTATTTATCAAATAACAAAAATACTTACCGATGATGATATAAATGAAGTTGTTGAAGCATTTCCAGTTGAATTAGCATCATTAGGCTTTCTCACGAACAATTCAACTCCCCTGTATCTCGCACTAAATCTCGGGGGAGACCCACTCGGTGTCACCCGTTGAGCTGCAGTCTAAATAACAATCCAATTAACAAAGAAATTTCTAAGTTTACTAAATAAAATAGTAGATTAAGAATTTACCTCATTACTGCTAACATTTCGATAAACTCCAGCAAATGCGGGAGCTTTGGCTCCAAGTACACTCAACAATGGAGCAACAGTACTTTTAATTTGTTCCAACAAACTTGCATTAGAATTTATTAAGTATGTTGTTCTTGCAGGATTGAAAATGTTTGAGTCAGAATTCCCGCTATTACCTCTGCTGCTAGTAGAAATACCGATTAAGTTGAAAGTTTCATTGGCATTCGTTTTATTTAAAAGCTCCAGACTCACTGCAGGTTCTTTCTTTATCGACTGTTGCGTTGAATTCTCTGTTTTTATTAATGCATGATATTTCGGAGTAATAGCAACACTCGATACTTCTTTCTTTCCTGTCAGAGAATTCTGTGGCTGTGAAACTTCTAAGTGACGTCGGTAGGTTGCAGTTCTTGGTCGAGAATTACCTCTCCGCGAAGTTTGAACAGTTTTTTCAGCTGTTAATGAGGAATAAGTGTTTCTTGAAGTAACAGTTGCTTGAGTACTTGTTACATCAGATTTTTTAGTTGGTTCTTGCCAGTTTTTATCAATATAAGCTGAATTCCAGACTCTTGGTCTTTTTGTCACTTTAAAAGTAACACTCTTCTGAGTTGTTTCATTATTGCTCATAGTCGTTGTAGATATTTGTCGATTTCTATTAGTATATCCTCTTGACCGCGTTAATGGCTTTGAAACTACACTTCTTGAAGTATTATGACTATCAATCGATCTTGGAGTTGGTTCCTGCCAATTTTTATCAATGTATGCGGCATTCCAAGCTCGAGACCGTCGTGTTGTACTTAACATTTTCACCGTCGTGGTATCAATATTACGAGAAGATAGAGGTCGAATTGTCACAGTTTCTAGTTTTATTTTTTCTACAGTTGTTAATTCAGAATTGTACGCTGTTTTACTTTGAACAAACACATCATCAGGTGTACCAGTTGTAGTTATTCTCTCTTTCTGATTCTGACGAATACGTATAGTTTCTCCAATTGTAACATTTCCTCTCTCAATACTTTTACTTGTCCTTGCAATTTTTTTATCGATTTTAGGTAATGAAATTGTAACTTTTGTTCTTGGTGTTATTGATGATAGCTTGAAAGTATCGTATCTTTTTGGGTCTTGCAGTGACTTAGATTCTTCATTGAACTTAACTGAATTTAGCGTAGTTGATGAACCGTTATCAGGATTTACTTTCTCCTCACTCTTCAGTTCTGGTTTCACTAGCTTTTTAGCTTCTTCTAGTTTCTGTTTTGATCGTGTAGAAAAATTCGTGCCTGGCGTTCGTTTTTTTTGACCCTGAAAAATCTTTAAATCATTTCTAAAATTTCACAGTTTTTTGTTTATCTGGTTAACACTTTAAAGCAGATTAAAAGTCTATTATTTTACATGCAGTATTATATATCACAGACTTATAATAGCTAATTTGTTCCTCAATAAGCTAAGCTGAAATTAAAACCAAGCATTAAACACTCATTATACTGTTCTTGTTATCATTCACTCCAGACTAATATAAGAATTCCAAGTTAATTAGGCGTTGCTAAAGTAATTGTGTAGTATTATTTTAATAGTGAAGAATGAGTGTTTATACATAGTTTTAGCATCACTAGAAATTATTTTTCTTTGGCTTGTTGATATGCTATTCAATCGAACAGTGTTATATATAAGGAGAAATTTAATTAGAACAGACGAGATTACGAGAATAGCTGTCACGAAAGGACGAAAAGATTCATAGTATAAATAATAATATAAATCAACAATAAATAACGTAACGTAAAAACGTTACAAACGATTACGATAACAGACTTTTATTTGTTGAATGTAACTGTAATTGTTTTATTCTATATTTTTTTTAATAGTTAATTGTTTTTTAAGGTCAAAACACAATATTATACTCGATTAAAAGTAATGCAGATAAAATACTTATTATATTTCTGTTGTAAAGTCAATAATTGGCATGATAAATTGAGAATTTATATGAAATTTTAGAAAAAAATAAAAGTGCTCTGATTAATTATTAAATAACGCAATATTTTCTTTTAGGATTGAGAACTCTCCCTTTTATACGACCCGAATTACGTTCACCTCGATGTCCACCTCCAACCAATACATTCTATTTCTCTGCACTTACTTTCTCCGACTATCGAAGAAATAAGAGCAATGGTCAGACATACCAGGCGGGTCCGGATGTTTATATACATGAACATCAGACAATCTTTGTTCTTGGCCGAATTACTTTTTTTTTGTTGAGGACGTAGGGGGGGAACAAGGGAGAAAACCCGAAACTTATCTTAACAACTTTGAAATTTTTTATACCACATATCCAATCCCTAGCCCTTTTTTTTCTTATACCTTCTCTCATTATACACCTCTAAAGCCTTGAATTCTAGCCATTTCGCAATATAAAAATATATTTGTATGAACCAGTTATTCTCTTAAACACATATTAAAATATGGCTATCAATATGCACAATAATTAAATGTCTTGACTTTACATGCAAAATGCCATTATCCAGTTGTAGTTGGTGTTTAATGACAAATACTAATACAGAAAAGCTCTATATACAACAAAAACCTATCTCTAAAATATTTACAAAACTATTTTTATCCAATTTTTATCGATCATCTTACTTCTGATAATGTTGAAATATTGGACTCGGACAAAATGAGATCTGGGATTTCATCTGTTTCTGATTGAATGTCCAGTGGATCAGCCTGATCAGTTGAACGCAAATGACGGGTTATGATTTTCGTCACTTCATCATCCTGATAATAGATATACTAAGAAGGATGATTTTTAATTAATAATTCTACAATAGTTATTTTATCTAGCTCTTTACTAATTTTTTTTCCTACCAATTTTTTTTTTTTCACTCACCAAAGCATTGTTACAGCATAGTAGTTTAAAATATGTATTTTAATATTAAAAATTATTCTTTATATGAAACATTTAAATAATAAATTATTGAATATATTATATTATGTATTAGTTGCTAATTATTGCAATTTAGTGTAGGCAATTAGAAAATGATTAATAAAATATTTATCAAATTACCTTGTTAATTTTTGGGAGCTCTGATCTTTCATTGCTTTTATCAGAATTATCCTACAATAATAAACCACATCATTAAAATAAAAATAACATCAAGTTTCACAAGTAAGAACGAAATTTACGAAAATGACTGACAGATTAATGTTGAGTATAGATCTTTACTCTAATTCGAAACTTTGTGATTACAGTCTGTCTCAGACACATCTGTGTTAATACTCCATTAAATAAATATCTTTCAATCATTTTCTCGAAAAAAGCATCATGTAAAAAATTAGTAATCTAACTTACCAATTGAGCTAATTTTGCTTTAAATTCTGGTGGATAATTATCGTTTTCACCCACTATTTCTTTACCGGTTTTGGTAATTGAAGCTTTATTAAAAAGTTTATTTCCTCGACGTCGGTTGTTTGATAAGTTAGTCGATGATATGTCATTCAAGAGGTTTTCAGTATTTTGATTACTAAAAGTAATTGACGTCGTGTACGATGCTTGTTTAAATTCTTTGCGACCACGAAAATCCAAAGTGTCATCAAGGTCCTTTTCTTTAGGCAAAGTTTTAATGGTGAGAATTGAAGTAGCTGCTCGACGATTACCTGGAGCTTCTGTAGGTTTTTTCGATGATAATAAAAAAACCACTGTTGTTACGACAAAATTAAATTAAAGTGATTAGATATCATTTTAGTTATTACTATTTATATACTTATCAAAAAAAAAATTAAAATTTTTAAAGTTTCTTACGTTAGTAAATATTATTAAAATAGCTACGACTCAGATAAGTATGTTTTATATGGAATAAGTAAAATTTGATTCAAACAATAGTTTTCGTTCGAATATATAAATAAAAATTCAAATAAAGCTATTTTAAATAAAATATTCATTTTAATGTTCAATTAAATTTTAATCAATAATACCTTCTTTCGTAAATGCTGTAGTAGTAGGAACTGTAGTTACTGTGTTAATTGAACTGGACACTAATTCTTTAGTAGACTTTTTAGAAAGTGATGACAATCCATTATGTTTTCTTGGTCGATATCTTTCAGATGTATTGAAATGTTGATGGTCCGTCTTCACTTTAGGTTTCTCATTAACTCTTTCATTTTTTTCTAATATTTTCTTCTCTAAAAAAAATCCCCGACTTATATCTGAATCATTATTTCCAGATATTTCATCATTTAGTTTAGAACTTCTTCCTCGGCTCTTTGACGAGAAACTCGCTTGTAAACTTTTTAATGGTGTTCGTTCTTTTTTCTGAGAATGAGAGTTTAATGTTTTAGAAGTTGTCAATTGTTTTGCTTCATTATTATTTACTAATTCCACATAAGCAGCACTCTCCGCAAACTTTGAAATTCCCCTCCTACTACCTCGTGGAGTAAAATCAGGATTTTTATTATTTAATTGAACACGTGTTTGTCCCAACTTTAGTTCTTGAGTTTTTTGGGGTAGAAGAATTGATGGTTGAGAGGCGGAAGGTACTCCAACATTGACTTGATCAGAATATGATGAATCAATATCAAGTCTTCGAATACTTCTTTCAGTAAAATATCTTGCTGCACTTTTCGGTATTTTATCTCTTGTACTTTCAGAGGGTTTAGAAAACTCTTCAGACAATCTTTTAGATGAATAACGAGCAGAATCTTCGAAATCTCGGGATGATAAAGTGACTTGGATTTTTCTTTCATTTCTAGGCTTTGTAATACTTGGAGCTTCATTGATAGGATCTACTGAATCAATTCTTCTCTGAAATTCTCTTCTTGAATTTCTACTTCTGGAAGATCCTCTTTGACCTCTGTCAGCTTTAGAAAACTCATGAGGAGTTTGAAAATTAACTTCTTCTTCGACCTTATCAAGCTTTTTACGACTTGAAGAATCTGGTAAGTACCGTCTATCTCCACTAGCTGCTCGAATTAAATCTCCATTAGATGATGAAGATGTATTTTTACTTCTGCTTTTACCTGGATTTAAAGAAAATCCTGTAGTTACTTTCTCAGTTGTTAGTTCAGTCTTTGTAAAAGCACTTGTTCGTCGTCTGGAAAGTGTTGCACTAGCATGTGGAGAAGGATTGTTACTACGGCGATTTGACCTTGATGTAGTGGTGAGAGGCTCAGAAGTTGTTCCAAGTCCTTCTTCAGCCTTCAAACTGAATCGAGCATTACCTCGACTCCTGGTCGTTGATAGATTTTGACCTTCATTCTAGAACAATAAAAATACAAAGTATGAAAAATCTTTTTTTTACTCAAGTAATTATTTTATAATTTCATGTTCAACAATGAATAAAAGTAAGATGATTAATGTTACATAAATAGCAAAAAAAATGGGCTAACATTGTTTTTGAATGAAAAATTGATGATTTAATCAATAATGTACGAAATTTGTTTCTTTTTTTTTTATTTTTAATTACAAACTATTAACAATTTCGTCAAACTACTGGATCATAGTTATAGTAAGATTGACGTATAAAACAATAATAATAAGGCACAAATGAAATTGTAAAATTAATAGTTATAATTTTTGATTAAGTATAAAGATATATTGCTATTTAATTAAAATGTTCTACAGTGTTTTATCATTCAATTCATAGTCATGGTTTTGATAATATCGCGTGAAAGTGCAAACCTTGAGTATCAACGTACGCAAATTAAAACTGGAATTAATTTGTTTTCGACGCTCAAAGATTTTCAGATATATATGATGTATGGATATATTTTAATATTTATAATTACACTATACCACTTCCATTTCCTCGAGAAAATGAATCAAAAATTATAAAATAAATAAAATTAACCAAGTGCAGTAGTAAAAAATTAATTAAAATTACCATTTCCGATGCCAAATTGATTACTAAAGGCAATAATAAAGTAGAATAAATAGAAATGGCAAACTAAAATTGATTGGTCAATAACCTATATGTGGATATAGGTCAAGTTGAAAAATTTTGAAATAATTAAAAAGATACAAAAAAAAATCGTAAAAAGATAATTAAATCTACCTTTTGACATTTTAACATTATGTTATGTCTCTGGAATTGATAAATCATCTCTGTAGGACTTACTTTAATTCACTTATTTGAGGTTTGCATAAATATAAAAAAGAATTTAAATGTCAGTAATGGGATTTATGATTGAAAAGTTACGTTAATGTTTCTATGAAAAAGTTGGTAAACTTCTAGAAGTAGAGTTTATATAACATATAATAGATGAATAGAAACATTAGCAAATGTAAAAAGACATTAATAGTATTTCACATTTTCGAGATTTGATGCATTTTAATGTTGAAATTTATGAATAAATAAATTAATTACTAATTTTACATCAGAAGTAATAATAGAAATTATAATCAACTTAGATAACGTTAATTTCTTTATGTACTTTTGATGTGAGCTATAATAACCATTTGCCCTGATATATCATAATAACATAGAACTATGTATATCACGGTTGTAAAATAACTAAGAAAATAAGTCGATAAAAAATTAGTAATTACTATTTCTTATGAATAAAAAAAATTTATAACTTATTTACAAATGGGTGAATATATTGAATTTGATATAATGCTAATTCTAAAAATAGTTGTTACTTGTTGCTCAGCTCATAGACTGTAAATTTAAATTAGTGAAAAGGGTAGAGTGATAATTAAAAAATCCTAAAATTCTGTATTGGAAACTTATGAATCATCAACTTATTGAAAATAATCAAATGTAATTGAATAGTTAAACAATATTCAATCACGTTACATAATAGTTTCTTTAGATATAAAGAAATTTTTTTAAAATAAACTCAGCCACAAAATTTTCCCCGTAGATATTAAAAAAAAACGCTATTTAAAAAAAAGTAAGCTTGAAAAAATTAATTTAAAATAGGTACAAATATAATATAATATAATATAATATAATATAATAAAATATAAAGACAAAATATATTTCAATAAAAAATATATATAAAAAACATTACATCGAATAATTTTTGTTTTAATGAAATAAACATGTTATTGATTGTTTTTTAATTGAATATTAACTCGTATCAAACACTTATTTATTTATTATGAAATTCCAATATGGTTATAATAAATGAATGTACTTGAATTTAATGTAAAAATAATTGATTGAAACAATTATTATCGAGTATTATTATTAATCATACTTAAGTAATCATAGCTTAGTAAATGGTTCACTTAAAAATTGATTTATTTTTTATCTTTCTTTTTTAAAGAGCTATTTTATGGCAACTCCTGAAATGTATTGTCATTATATTCTATCAATTAACATCAAGTAAGATGGTCACTTATTATTTCATGGGCGATAGAATCCTTCAAAAACTATCACATTACTCTTTTAACCTTATAACTTAACGACTTGTATTACTGTTGTGCATATAGAAGTGATTACAGCATAAGCATTTATTACTGGCAGTTCCTATCTAACCGTCATCACAACAAGTTGTAATAAGCCAAAAATTATGACATAAACTATTGTTAACAGAAAAAATAATAACAACATATTTTTTCAAGGCACTTGAATTCAGCACGAGCTCTAAGTGAATTAATAACAGATTGATAATAACTGATAATTTAGGGTTAACGGTAGGTTAGTTACATCAATCCTTATTAACTGAAACTTGGATTCACACGACGCCCACTTCAGAATTCTTGCCCAAAGACATTATGGCCAGATAGGTATGAAGGAGTATTACAATTTAAAATCCAACTAACCTGTTATTTAACATCAACTACTCTTCAGTTTATCTTTTGATTGAAATAGAAGCCAAAGGACACGAAATCTCAAATTTTATGTAAATTCGTCGCACCATGTCGTTACATGATTGTTAAAGCATTGGCTATTTCACAGAGACGCATTTAAGCACGAAAAAAATTACTAGACCATTATTACTTTCTGATCAACGAAAAGACTTGAATGCCTTACTAACTGGCAATTTCTTAATAACCAATGAAACCAAGTGAACTGTAAATTGACAATTGGACCTTTCAAGGAAGGTGAGAGTAAACAAATCTATTATAAGGTTTGATCTGTTGAATAGTTCGCACGATCAAGGTGACAAAAAACTACAAATGTCTTTACCACTTTAACCTTTAAATCCAAAAAATTTAAACTATTTTTGAAATATAAAATAGAAAGGAATTCTTTTCTTATAATTGGCTATGATACTTAAAAAAGTTAACTTTTATTGCTGCTTTATAAAAATTCATACATTAACACGCAATAATTTTGATTTATCAATAAAATTAAATAGCTAAAATATTAATCTAAATTTTTCTATGTTTTTCACTTCTATTATAAATAAAATTATTTTAACAATAATTAAATTAGTAATTAATTAAGTTCATAATTTTCATTTAAAGTTTAATCAGAAAATATTGAATCATCATAAATATTATTGAAAAAAAATCTTTCCAAGTGCACATTTCGAGTAATTTTCTACATACATCTAAATAGAAGAAAGTAATATATTTACACTTCTCTAATTTATCATTCAACATTAGGTATGTTAACTCAACCACTACAATTCATTCAAATACACTCAAGATAAAAAATTCAATCCTTCAATATAGCATTATTGGTGAATTGTCACTTTCGCTACTTGATGTAGAAACAAATTTCTCTTCGAACCAGTCAAGGGTCAAAGAGTCAATCATTCGCCATATTTAAACTTATACTTATTTTTGAATAAAATATTAATTAATAAAAAATCCAAGTTCCTTAAATTATTACCTTGTTTAAAATACTCTTCCTGATGATGGGAAAATATTTAAATACCTGGTCCTTAAAGAAACTCATCAAAAAATGATTTATTATTACATCAATTTTGCTGGCTTGAAAGATACTATGTTATATAACTGTAATGAACTTAATACTAAGTACAATTTTTAAGATGAATGAAACAAAATTAAACTTGATATTATCATGTGATTATAAAAATTTGTATATTGACCTAGTACTTATTAAATATAAATAATACATATAAACAACCTAGAAGAAATTATATATTGTAATGATAAGATAATGAAGAGTCTCATAAAAATATGAATCAGAAATTTCGAAAAACGTATGATTTTCAAAGTGAATACATTTACCAAAGTCTTGAAAAAAAAAACATCAGACAATATGACATGTGCATTAATTATATCTATTGTCACTTATATGATGACAGTATCAACTGTCTGATGTTTGTTGCAAAACACCAAAGTAACTCCAAGTGCGACCTGAAAACTTGTTCGAGGCCCGGCAAAAGGTGTGGCATGCTAAAATAAGAGAAAATATCCTTTCACGTATGCACGTGACAATATCATACAAGACATATAATAAAATTCTATGTAATATTTAGTAAAATATATAAAAAAATCATATTAAATGTTACATCACTGTAGAAAATTTAAAAACATCTTCGAAACTTGAAGGAAGCATGTTTCGCCAACAATCTTATAAAGATCAGGTTCAATATGCAATGAAAATATAATGTTGATGTTAAAATAAAAATTTGCTCAATAGACTCATAATTATTATTATTTCGCAACGAGATTTCCAACTATCACAATTAACATAATAAAATGTTCTTTGGACTTGAAAGATAATCAACTGTCCTCATTGATCGTTTCGATTTCTCGATGAATTATTCACCTTCATCAATCTCTTTAAATATGACTTTAATTTACATAGTTTAAATTCTGATATAATTTTATTTATCTTCACATTATGATCAAAATAATTTCATTATATACTCACATATTTTCTTGTGAACTTTTATAAAATATATTGATATTTAGTCATATATTAAATCATTAAATAATCCAATCAGATTTTGTAAATATTGTCTCTGGCAATCAAGATATTTTCTTACTGTCACTTTCCAACAACTCTTTTTTAAATTATTATGCCTCGTTAAAAGTCATTAACAGCAACTCAACGATGCATAAAAAAAACTTCCGCAACGTTGGATAATTGCAGTTACCTAAAATACTCATGTTTCTATAATGATGGTACTTCGGATGTAATTCGTTTCAACTGTCGTTAAATTATGCATATTTTAAATATGTATATTATGTCGAGAGCGTATTTTTATCGTTGAAATTGTTTGAAGTAATAAACTTGTTTTCAAATTCACGATTTTTACTTTCTTCTTCATCGTAGTAGAAAGTTACATGTCTTTAGTAATGCCAGTTAATCGATTATAAAATATATTCAAAAAAATTTTTATCTGATAATTGTTAAGAGTAAATTTTCAATGGGAATATCAAAATAATAAGTCTAGCTTCTTTAATATTTTTTCAAATACTAAATTTCACTAATGGAAGCAAAATAAAATCATTATCTATAAATTATATCTTCATTTTTCTTACCCACTACTCTAGCTACAAATTATCCATAAAAAAATATCTAATTAATATTTTTATCTCTTTCCTTGATCCATATTTTATTCAGAAGAATAATGTCTAAAACATATTAAACATAATTAACTGACTTTTTATACAAATTTTCTTTAGTATGATCTTTGCTAAGACAAAAATTTTTCCATTTAATAAAAGTCAATAAAAAAATCTTCACATTTAGAATCTATATGTTTTTCTTGAGTATGGACTTCAAAGACTTTTTATGATCGGTTCAGCCCATCACGAAATGCAAAGAAACAACTATTCCCGTCAATTAATGGCCTACATCATCTTCTACATTATAAAAGTATTGCGTTTTATTTTACTTTTTCTTTCAGTACACTTTACCTGTTTGAAGAGAATTATTCAACACTTCTTCGTACACATTAATCGAGGAACCAGATGTGAACATAGAGTGGATTTATTGCACTTATTAGATTGCTATCTATATTAGTGTACGATAAAAAATAAAGAGATAAACGCAATTATAAAAAAGAAGACGAGATATTTCGTAAAGGAGAGGCATTTAGTGCAAGGACTTAATAATTATTTATGAAGATTTGAATCATTGTATATTATATCTAGAAAGCTAATGTCGATTTTTTGCACTCCATGTCAATGTTTACACGTCAGTGATGTGCAATAGTTGAACTATTTGAAAGTTATTGCATCGTTTTTCATATTTGTTCTACTTATTAGTTTGTACAGTAAAAAATATTATTAATTATTGGTAATCATAAAAAGCATTAGTTTATATAACTGTCATTATTCCCTTCTCACGGAAGAAATTAATCAAATAAATTAATTAATAAAAAATAAATTTGTCTAATTATCATGATCATAATAAAACTGTAAATTGTATAAATGAATACTAGAGCTCATTAACAGGATACAATTAGAATACAAAGCATTCTAAAGTGTCAATAAGAAGTGGTAATAATATATTAATCATCGAAAATTAAAAGAAAAAAAAAACACTCAACAGAAAACAAATGTCCTTGCACTGATTAAAGACTATCATTTACGAGGATAAAAAGAATTTGATTATTTACTCCAATACTCCGGTATTATTACTTTGAGTAGGTTGTAAAAAAAGAGAGAGAGAGAGAGAGAGAGAGAGAGAGAATTCTCATCAACGACTTTTATGGCTGAGTCAAGATTTTACATTTTGATTAACATATCTAAATTCATAATAATGTGAATAATAACAACAACATGCGTATTATTAAGTAAATTTTCATCATGTTTTGTGTGCTTGGCTAGTGGGATTGCACTTGGATGAGGTATATATTTGATTAGATGATAAAAGTTATAGCAAAATAGAATGTGAGGTAAGAGAAGATCAATCATAATTATTATGCAACATAAAGAAGCAACTAAAGAATCAGGAAGCAATCTGATTAATCTAAAGCATTTCATACTGGAGTTCTTCGGCACGCTTGAAGAATTCAAATCAAAATGGTAACTATGGATATGGTAAGATATATAAACGTGTATGAAATATAATCTTTGAGCAGGATACGGTCAATAGATAGTGATACTATAAACTCTTAGAAAACCTGCTTCAATAATATATAATAGTTTACTCGTGTGTCGCTCAAAGCTAACGAGTATATCTTGATTGTACAGTCGACTTTCCACACATATATAAATTCTTAATAGACAATTGCTCAGCAATATATTATTTAAGTAAAAGAGAATAATTTTCACGTAGTTTAAAAGTATTATCTCGATTAAATGGAAGGTGTTACAAGGCTTTATTCATTAATTCTTATTAGAGTAATGAGTCTATTGTTATTTTCATGTAATCATCAATGTTATATTATATGTCTAGCTATTGATGCAAAATCGATCAATCTGCTTTGGATCGCGTGCACGTGCCAAAAGACCACGTCCTCCTTAGGTAACGTACTATAAATTATAAATATTATTATTTTGTATAAAATTTCTGATTGTCAAGTAATAATTATTACTAATAAAACTTTTTTTATCAGACTGGGGAAACTTTATACGATAGAAATTGCGGTCAAGAAAAAAGAAAGGACATTGGAAATGTATTAAAGAATAGTGTGCAAATAAAATATTGAAAAAAATTTTAATTAAGTGTCTTTAAAGCGGTGAAAGCTTCTAAACGCCTCCCCGATAAATATGATAGACTCTGAACGAAAAGGAAATGACAAATATACAACAGGGAATAAAAGACCTGTAAGAGGTTCAATAATGTTTGATGAGAAACTTGACAAGAGAAAGAGACAGCTGTTACTATTAAGTGACGTTATGATTGTTAAGTATTTCCAATAATTTTCTTCTTAATAATTCAACTGTTTAACCAAGCATGTACATGTATTACTTTCATTCCTTCAATTAAACACACGCATCAGCTGTTGTGAAATTTATCGGCGAATATTATGATTTTCCTGTTATTTTTGTTTTATTTAATAAGAATCTTTAGGTATTTACTTTTTAATGATAAGTGAAAATTTACTTACATGTGTGATAGATTTACGCAAGCAGTCAGACCTGACAAATAACACAACTAACACGAGGATCACCACAAACCACGAAGACCTCCTCGTCATCTGTAAAATTGTAAATATAAGATAAACGGCAATTTCATCGGTAAATAAGGACAGGAAAATCATTAAAAACGCTTTATGATCAGAGAAAAAAGTTATAGAATTAACAAAAGACCTTGAACTTGTAATAATGGCATTAGCTGGCAAGATATTCGTGACTGTTATTTTGATTGATATAACAGAGAAAAGATTAAAATGAACGAGAATCAAGAATACTCAAGCAACCGTTAGAAGGTTAAGATAATCAGCTCTCAACTACGAATTCCAGTGATTCATCTTTTTCATTCATGGTTTGTTTACTTTTTTAGTTTAATTTAATTAAATAATTTTCAATAATGATGCTAAAAGTTTCTTAATAGTTGTTTTTATACTTTTGACAGATCTATTGATAAATTTAAATTTAATACAGAAATGAAAGATGCTTTCACATAAATTAACTCAAGTTTGAATTGTTATAAACACAGAATTAAATGTAATGAATCAAGAATTTTGGTATTGTTACAAAAGACTTAACAAAAACTGGAAATTCTTATTCATCATGCAAGTTGTTTAAAAACAGCTGGTGGAAGATATATAATTGTGAAAGTAGACTACTGAGACCAAGCAACGGTCAGTTAATCCCATTTGCTCGCTTAATATTCCATAAGTCCTTTCAATTCTGACAATAACTTGCAGAACTATGTACCAGAAAAAATTTTTTAAGACTTGCTAATTTGTCTATTTAGCGCTTTACTTTTAGACAATTATTAAAAGATTCACTAGTGTTTCTAATTATAGGGTGAATAAATGTTAAACAAAATCATTATTTCTTTATTTTTCTCGACTTTTTTATAGATTTTAGTTTACTCTTTTTTTCTTTCAAAAAACTGTTAATAAAATAAATTTCACCTTTGCTTTTTATTTAATCCAATTTTAACATCACAATTCACTTTATTAAAATTAATCACAGCACTAAAAAAATTAATTTATTTTAAATTAAATATTTTGTTAAATACATTTAATGAAAACTATTCACACTGGTAAAATATATTTTTGACTTAGCAAAACAGATTGGAGTAAAACAAAATAAATAAGCGGTAAATTGATGAAATTTAAGAGCACGCGACTTGATGCATTTTTGCCGGTTACTGGTGCGGTCTATGAAGTGTTGAAGACAAATAAAAGTCGATCGTATGGTTATGTCAAAAAACGGGGCTGGAACAGTAGAAACAGGCAAGGGGAAAAGATAGAGAGAGAGAGAGAGAGAGAGAGAGGACAAGAAAAAAAAGAACAAATGTGCTAAGACTGTGGCATTTTCCCTTTCGCTTGTATCAGATTTGCCCTACCAACTGACTTACTTGCTCCTACCACTGATATTGAAAGCTTTAACTTTACATCAATCGGGTGGGGTTGAAACCATTGGACCCTCCTGGTACTACAAGACACTTTTAGTCAAGGAAAGACTAAAGTCCGCCACTCAACTCAATGCAAGTAGTAATGGACTCTCAAGAGTTCCTTTTAGATAGCTCGATTACTCGAGCGTGTCGATGCTTGACAATTGCAAACATTTGCAATGATTTCATTTGATCAACTATGAATTTCCACTTTTCTTAGAAAATTATTTATAGCAATCGATTTGTTTCAAATATATTTCGATATTTACTGCAATATTCAATGATTCTTGGGATATATATTCTAGATTACATTTAAAATAACTTGAATAAATTCTTTCATTAGCTATAAGCTGATATTTTATTGGGTTTTAGTTGTAGAAATTATTTTATTATCAAAGTTAAGATTTTATTTGTTCGTATAAATAGAAAACATTTTGCTGTTACATAATTCTTGGAAAACTGGATTTCTAATTTAATTTCTGATACATAGTAATAAACAATTTCAATGATTTTATTAGATTACCTAGAATTTTAAAGTAATTAAAGAAAAATTATTTACTAATTGAATGAAAGTTAAAAAATAAATAATTGATGATCAAACTTGATGACTATTTTTTAGATAAACGAGTCTAACAATTTTATTTGAATTATTTATTGACATGGAACAGATATGAATGTATTGATAATTCCATTCTTTTGCTGTGTAATGTTCAAGCATTATGTTTCAAATATCATTGATAAGACTCCATAATCCGAAAAATCAGATTCTTATTTACATTATTTTTAGCTACAATTTGCAGTGTTAATTTATAATAAATTTTTATGTTTAATAAAATCGTTATATAGTTGATTGAAAAACTTAATTTCTAATTTAATACTAAAATTTTCAAGTGTTAAGAAATGTTTTTGAATTTAAGCGTGTTACAAGAAAAAGTGACAGGACTGAGGACGTTACGCGTCACTACCAATGCTTTCCCCTAACATTTCAAATTCTAAAATAAAATGTTATTCTATGGATTTTGTGTACAAGACTGATAGATAAAGAAAGTTTTATGATTAAACTTTTCACAAAAAAGGTTTTTGGTAGTAATAAGAACAAATTACTAGTCAGTGAGATTTTATAGCTAATTATCTACAGCATGACTAGAAAAACTTTTGATAACTATGATCTGCACTTTAGGATCAAAGAAAAATTATTTAGCAATCAATAAAAAAACATTTCTTTTAATTCGAATGATTAGACAATAATTTATGAATAATATTCCAATTTTTAGGTTTTTAAATTTTTTCCTAATATGTTGAATTTTAAACTTGACCTTAAATTCTTGCATGTATAAATACAAAATATGATCAAATAGATTCCTACAATGAACTCTCGAACATCAATCATTTACTCATCCATGAGAAAGTTGATTTTGAAATCTGAATGATTTGCAAATTATCAAGATGGCACAGTTGAGATAACGTGAAAAGAACATTAGATCCGAAAAATTAAATTTGATAGAGGTCAGAAGGATCAATGATATACAGTTGATAATTATGAGCCTTGTACTAACAATTTTATGTTTTCGAAATATCAAAAGTTAATTTGTTATTTAACGACCATGCGATTTAATTTATGAACACATCTAAATGATATAAGATTTTTCTATAACATCTAATCAATAATTATTATTACAAACAATAAAGCAAAAAAGTTAAAATTACAATTGTTTGGAATAATGTAACATTAATGAGTAAGAAATAAACATCAATAGTACACACATTAATTATTTACTCAATACTTTTAAGTTAAGTTTCAATAAATCTTAAAAAATGAAATTTTTATTTTTTAAATTTTTAATATAAATATTTTATTATTTAATGTGTATGAACTAACAAATTACAACCTATGATTCATGCATTTCATTTATATGATCCTCTTCTATATTTTCTCTCAAAAACTAATACTGTTGGTAATTAAAAAAAAATGAATCAATAATTTACAAGTATTATTGAAGAACTTTATCATACTTTCAACACAATTATTGTTCTTGAGAGTTTATAGATAAGACATCAATCTTTGTAGGATGTAATTAAGATTTATATACTAAAATTGTACTAAATTTTTGATCTAATATAATTAAATGAATAATTATCCTAAGTTAACACGCTGAATACTGTTTGTGTAAATTAAAATTCTTTTTACATTAAACAACAGGTTTCTATATTATCTACCTGTTGCTTAAATGATCGGCAAAGTTCGAGTATCTTCGGAATTAAATGCCTCCAGATGAATGATCAAGCAAACTAGTAGACGAACACAATGTATTTAATATATATGTAGTGTCAGTTGTCAGCTCCATATATTTTATTCATTTGTAAACTAGTCAACATGTTTAAATAACAATAATATTTTTTTATAACTTTATCAGTGTATAATTGGTGCCAAGATCATGGTGGTTAATCTAAAACACCGTTTAGTAAATCTAATAATATTTTATTTATTCTTGCCATCTATATATTTATGCTCTTATCTAACCTTACGGAGGTTAAAAGTTTTGAGAAATACAAATAAATTTTTATCAACTTTTCCATAATAAAAACTATAATATCCGTTGTACAGGTATGTGTGCAATTGTGCAAATTCTCTTGAACCACATCTTTTTCTAATTAACATTACGCGATAAAATAATTGTTAAGAGCAAAGTATTTTATACATTATAATAAGAAAATTACCAATCTTATGGTGACCTCATTTTCAAGGCTAAGAAATTTCTTTATTTACGCTTTGTAACTTTACGAACCATTATTAAGTTCACTGTGTACGCAGTAAATCATGTTATTTAAATTATTTGATTGCAGATATTCTAAGCATTTTTTTATTTTAAAAAATGTCTGAAGATAAAATAATTCTTAATCACAAGAAATCATTTAGTTATGGAGATATCGATCCACACCAAAGAATGTCTCAAGATTCAGAGTTTGATGATGGACTTGGAGTACCTGATTCATTAGAAATGGCATCATTAGACGAACCTAATGAAACTGTTAATTCTAACAACAAAATTTCAGATGACAAATTAACCATAGTAAAAACTATACCATTTTCTGCTATTTATTCTCCACCAATTAAAGGTACAGGTAGAAGTTATAATATTTTTATTCCTGGAGAAGCAATCCACGTCAAAATTATAGATAATGAAAGAAATATTACCACTCATCCACTCAATCCAAATTTATATACAATTGAATTACAACATGGACCATTTGTTTGGACTATCAAAAAGCGATACAAACATATACAAAATTTACACAATCAGTTAAAAATATTTAGAGCTAGTTTGAATATACCATTTCCAACAAAAAGCCACAGGGAACGCAGAAATAGTTTAAGGAGTCTTGATGAGAATAAAATAAAACGAAAGTCACGATGTGCTTTGCCAAGGTACTAATAGTACTTATTTTATTTTTATTTTTGATTTTGAAAATAAAATATAAAATATTTTAAAACTTTAATTATGTTTTTTTAAAAGATAAATTTTGTACAGTTAAAAATTCTATAAAGTTTTATAAATTAGTTATTAATTGTATAGAACACTATATTAGTTATTACTACATAAAAAAAAGATTTTTCAATTTTCATTGCAACGCAGTTGTTAAAAAATTTTTTTCAATAACTTGAAACTTGTTATCAAGTTTCTTGTGATATCATTCAAATTATCTTTCGATTGTTTCTTCAAAAAGTTTAGAGTTCAGTTTTATCAAGATTATTTTCTTCAAATATTTTACTTATTTAATATTAAATATTTATTTATGAAATAAATATTATTGCAGATTTCCTAATAAACCAGACTGCTTAGTGTTTTATGAAAATTTTAACCACCGAATAAAAACTTTAGAAGAGTACTTAAGAAATTTACTGCAAATTGAAATCTACAAACGTCATCCAGAAACAATACAATTTCTAGAAGTATCTAGATTATCATTTATCAAAGATCTTGGTGATAAAGGAAAAGAATCTGCAGTTCTTAAAAGAACTGGATCAAGCGCAAATGCAGGATGTATGTTATGTGGACTTGGAGGACTAACATGTGGTTACATGTGTACTTCACTATGTGGAACTTGGCATGTTCGACATCTCGTTGTTAAAGAAACTTTCATACTTTATATGACACCAAAGGATGGAGAAATACAGTCTGTAATTCTGATGGACAATTCATTTGAAGTAAGCTCAGGGATGTATGTAACAGGCTTAAGGCACGGGTTACAGATCATGAATTCTAGTAGGCATATTGTAGTAAAATGTTGGACAAGAAGAAAAGCAAGAGAATGGTTGAGTTTTATTCAAGATACAGCCAATAGTCACGGTAAATAAATTCATTTATTTAACACTTTGTTTATAAAAAACTTTTTGAAAAATTAAATTCAATTATAGAATAAAATTTTCATTATAAAATATCCAGTTAGTAAGAATTTGGAAAAATCATAATTTACACATCTTAGAGATCTTTAATATCTTTAATTAATCTAGAGTAAACATAAATTATAAATTTTTCCATTTTAAGGCTAAAAAATAAATCAGTTAAACTATTACAACATTGAACATTTCTGTTCTAGGAAAATATTTTATCCAAGTAAATCCTCATCGATCATTTGCACCATATCGTACACCAACTCCAGCAAGCTGGTTTGTAGATGGATCAAGTTACATGTCAGCAATAGCAGATGCATTAGAAAATGCTAAAGAAGAGATATTTATTGCTGATTGGTGGCTATCACCAGAAATTTATATGAAACGGCCTATAATTCATGGTAATTATTGGCGACTTGATAAAATTTTACAAAGAAAAGCATTGAGCGGCGTTAAAGTATTTGTAATGATTTATAAAGAAGTAGAATTAGCTCTTGGAATAAATAGTTATTATAGCAAACAAAAATTAGTTTCTGCATGTCCAGAGAATATAAAAGTCTTTCGACATCCTGATCACGCAAGAGTAGGAATTTTCCTTTGGGCACATCACGAGAAAATAGTTGTGGTGGATCAAACAGTAGCATTTGTTGGTGGCATTGATCTCTGTTATGGTCGTTGGGATACAGAAGAGCATAGATTAACTGATTTGGGATCAACACATCAATCAAGTATTTACATTCCTACAAAAGGAAAAATAACGAATACTAGCAGTAAAAGAATCGTTGCTGTCAGAACTGATAAACATGTGATTCTTCCTTTAGCTATTGCAACCAATACAATTTTAATGGCAACAACAGGATGTTTGCCAGTAATTCCAATGCCAGGAAAATGCATATCGTCATCATCACAGCCAGATTTTAGTAGCTCAACTTTATTAATACCATCAAAAGAAACTCAAGTATTTAAATGCAATACACCAGACTCTCAGAAGAAAAATCTAATCAATATGGCTAGAACAACAGTAGATCGAGTTAAACAAAATGTTAAAATCAAAAGGCAAGAACTCATAAATATGGTTTATAATCCGAATGAAATGGATAATAGTAGTGACAGTGAAGATGAAATAGATAATGTAGTAATCAGAGAGCCTGTAGATGTAGAAGGAGTGTTAAAAAATAATGCCGATATTTTATCAGGCCTTCCTGGAGCAGCTAAATTATGGCTTGGGAAGGACTATATGAATCTTATCGTTAAAGATTTTTACGATCTTGAAAGACCATATCATGATCTAGTAGATCGTAGTACAACTCCTAGAATGCCTTGGCATGATATTGGAGTAATGGTTCAAGGTGCAGCAGCACGAGATATTGCTCGGCATTTTATTCAACGATGGAATGCTATTAAAATGGAAAAAGCTAAATTAAATAAAGCTTACCCATTTTTACTGCCAAAATCATATAGAGACTGCTCTAGTAATACACCTTTTATTTCTTCGAAATTAATCCATAATGTTAAGTGCCAAGTTTTGCGATCAGTCAGTTCATGGTCTGCTGGGTTCCTTGAGTCGGATGCTGTGGAAGAAAGTATTCATGAAGCTTACATAGAAGCAATTACTAACTCAGAAAAATTTATTTACATAGAGAATCAATTTTTTATCACTTTGGCAACAATGGAAAGAAGTACTGTAAAAAATAGAATTGGTGAAACTCTTTTAAAAAGAATTTTACGAGCGCATAGAGAAGGTAGTGTATTTAGAGTTTATGTAATAATGCCTTTATTGCCGGGATTTGAAGGTGAAGTTGGTGGTTCAAGTGGTACTGCACTGCATGCAATTACACATTGGAATTATCAGTCAATATCAAGAGGTCGTTGTTCAATACTGAATAGATTAATCGAGTCAGGAGTTGAGAATCCTAGTGAATATATAACATTCCATGGGTTAAGAACCCATTCAATCCTAAATGGTACCATGGTCACGGAGTTAATTTATGTACACAGTAAATTAATGATTGTAGATGATAAAATTGTGATTTGTGGGTCAGCTAATATTAATGATAGAAGTATGATTGCAACACGAGATAGTGAAATAGCTGTGATTATACATGATGAAGAATTTGAAGAAGGAAAAATGAATTCAACTCCTTATCCTTGTGGAAAATTTGTTGGTTCTTTACGAAAGCAACTATTCCGTGAACATTTAGGTCTTTTATGTTATCCTAGAACTATTAATATAGATGATGTGATAGATAAGTCGTTCTATTATGAACTTTGGAAAGCAAGAAGTAAAGACAATACAGAAATATTTGAAAAAGTTTTTAAGTGTATCCCGTCAGATGAAGCTACTGATTTTATTACCTTGAAAAATTATCAAAATTCCATTCCGTTAAGCATATCAGACCCTATTATTGCTCAAGAAATGCTAACAAATGTTAAAGGTCATTTGGTCGACTTACCTTTGGAATTTTTACGCGATGAAGTATTAACGCCTGGCGTCAACACAGTTGAAGGTATGATGCCAACGTCTCTGTGGACATAGTACAGTATTAATTTTATACAAAAAAAATGTATTTTAGTAACAGTTTAAAATGAAATTACTATTTGAAATGATTGAATACTCAATCCCCATATTACAAATATGCAATTGACTTTTAAAGTTTTTACAAAAAAATATATATGTTCTCGTAGATAATGACTTTAATACCAACAACTATTTTTTAACTATTTATATACCTCAATTTTACAATATTTATAAGATAATCTACGTATATGATAACAATTGTTAATGCTACTTATATGGTTATATGTTATTAAGTGGTGACTGGTTAATTTACTATTAAAATCTGTAAATGAGTTAATTTATTGTTAAACAAGCATAAAAAAAAATTAATTTGTTAGTTAATTCATATTAAAATATTTATTATGTATGTAAATAAATCATTTTTTTCTTTAAAACCATTTCGTTAATTTGTTTTTAAATCATTTATAATTCTTACTCAATGTTGTAATATATTTAATGTTATACGTATTTGAATATAAATATTACCAATATAAAGAATGCTTATTGTGTGAAATTGATATAATTTTCAATTTTTAAAATACTTCAAAAATACGTAGACTATCTGTAAATTGCGTTTTTTATTGCGTTTGATAATGAATTTGTACTGTAAAGAGTTTAAAAGATGTTTTTCTTTGAATTGAAAAACCGTCAAGTATTTTACGCAGTATCAATATTCGAATACTTTTGTTGTTGTACAACTGCTCGCGCATGAACAAAATACGCCATCTCTACAACTAAAAAACATGAGAATAAAAAAAAATTGGCAGCAGTGCGAATTAGATTTGGAATAATTCTATTATTTTATATTTTGTTATTAAATACTCTTTTATTAAAGAATATCATTTTGTTCCATAGTAGCCACAAATCCAAATTCGACAATTCTTTTTCGAAGTAACAGCTGCGGTTTAGTGACAATGTAAATTACAGTGTAATTTTAAATATTCTAGTGTAATGAATCCATGGTACCATACTATAAAAGAAAAATAATTATAGTATTTATAAATATGGCCATGATAACGATGTCGTGATTTCGAACGCTGAATTAAGTATTAGTTGTTGAATCATTTTGTATACGAGATTTTGTCAATAAACTAAAAACTTTTTGTATTATTTAATCGGTATAATTCAATATATCTATTTGAGTTTTTTTTAATGAATTTTACGTGTGCATTTATCAGTTCATTTATTCGGTAAATATTGCAAAAATTGTTTTTTAAACTCATATATAACCCTTGTCATCGAACAACTGCAAAAGACAAGTAAAAATAAAAAACAAGTTATACTTATTCCATCAATTTTTCGTAAAGCTTGTCGCAATTCTAGTAAAATTTTACATTCAAAATGGCAGCTACGAGAAGATTGCAAAAGGTAAGTATCCTTATCAATATTTTTCATTATATCCAATTTTACGATAATACAAATAATGAAATGTTATTTACTTTGTTTTTATTATTTTTTAATTTATTAATGATAAATCTATGATTATATTATATTATAAAAACACTTTTATAATCTCCACATTGTTGGCATAATTATTAAGGTTAATATATTGACATACATTCAAAGAATAAAATTAAAAAAGTCAAAAATAAATCGTTTTATTATATAAAATGAGTAGAGATTTATTTATTCCAGGAGTTAAATGAACTAAAAGCATCAGCCATGAAAAACTTTACAAATATTCAAGTAGATGAATCTAATATTCTAAATTGGCAGGGACTGATTTTACCGGTGAGTGACATGTACTTTTAATATTAATCACCAATAAAAAATTATATATACCGTTAAACAAATTAATAAAAAAATTTCACAGGATAATCCACCTTACAATAAAGGCGCATTTCGTATTGAAATCAATTTTCCTGCAGAATACCCTTTTAAACCTCCAAGAATAACATTCAAAACAAAAATATATCATCCAAATGTTGACGAAAAGGGTCAAGTATGTTTACCAATTATTACTGCAGAAAATTGGAAACCCGCTACTAAAACCGATCAAGGTTAGTTTTAATAAAAACAAATGAAATTTTTACTGATAAAAATAACGTTTCAAACTCTATATTTTCAGTCATTCAGGCCTTAATTGCATTAGTAAATGATCCTGAACCGGAGCATCCGTTGAGAGCGGATTTAGCAGAGGAATTTTTAAAAGACAGAAAAAAGTATCTCAAAAATGCAGAAGAATTCACGAAAAAGCATGCGGAAAAAAGACGAGAAACATCAGCAGAATAACGTTGATTTATCGAAACTCACCGCGATGCCTACTATCTGGAAAATTATCGTAATCAAACCGATTGTTTTACAATTTGAATTCGAGACATGTTCCGTGTACAGTATTGGTTGATTAACGATAAAATCATATTAATTATAATATTTATAAGATGAAATAAATAATAATAAACTTTTAAGATTATCATAAAGTATAAGCATATTGTATAAAAACTGCAATTGATATGATAATTGTAGAGTTTCTATAATCCAATGTGTATTAACAACAACGAGGTATATCGTAAATTGTGACTACTATTAACCTTATACAAAAAAATATAGATGTGCTTTACCAACATCATATATTTAACTATCTGATTTTATTTTATTTTTTAATATTGAAATCAATTGTAAAAATAGGAAAATAGTTTTGAACAATTAATGAAATCATAAGCTTTAGGCGCGAAAAATGTGTTGATTTGATTTGAAAATAGGCTTATATAAAAGTTATGTTAAATGTGGTGTGCCAAACAGTAAAAATATCACTATACCAAAGATAAATTAAAAAATTTCAAATTTAAAATTTTTATTGGACACATTTTTATATAGCTTAGCTTGATTTATAGCTTCATTTGTCTTTCTAAAACAACATCACTGCTCTTCTATAGAAATAAACAGACAATTAATATAAGTATAAATATTCAATACATTTTATTAATTGAAAAATACTGTCTATAAATAGATAAAAAAATTTTTTAAAAATACATTTAATCAATAATATATAAAATATAAAAACATTTGATATTTGAAAAAAATTATTCGTCGATTAGTTGACACAGTTTATCGCATGAAAAATCATCAAAGTTATTTTTCAAGACTATTTCTTCTTTTTTAATAAGACTAAAGAGCTTTTGAAATGGTGTATATCGAATCAAACTTTCTTTATTGCCAATAATTATTAACTTGTTTTTGGCACGTGTCAAAGCAACATTGAGTCGTGTATGATCTTCCAGAATTTCATATTCACGTTTTTGGGAATAGAAGTCTTTCACATCATTTTTCGTACATGAAAGCAATATCACACTTTTATCACGTCCTTGATACTGATCTACAGTATTAATTTCAACTTGTTTTTTGACTAAACGTTTTAGTAAATTAACTTGATGTGTAAACGGTGCTATAATACCAATATCATCTGTTTTAACACCAACTTGTATCAATACATTTAACAGTCGCATTACTATTCCAGCTTCAAAATAATTAGTACAATGACTAGTGTCATTGTGAGGAATAGTTTCAAAATTAATTTTTAAATTCAAATTGCGCAATTCTTGTGTATTCAAAACCACAATTGCATGCTCTAAATCATTTATTAATGCTTTCTTTACCCATTCCTCGCAAGACTCTAGAATCTAAACAGACAATAAAAAAACTATTATTTTTGAGATCAATGATAAGAAGTTTGTAAATTAAAATAGTTAATAATTGTTACTTTTGTATTTGTGAATTGTAATATTGCATTTGATATTTTATCATTCCCCATTAAAAGTTCTCCTTTATAAGTCAAATCATTTGCCAGATCCATAATTGGTTTATTCATTCGATATTGTTGTTTTAAAACTCGTGTATTATTTTTACTGTCAAGTCTGCTAAACATATCTTCACTCATACCTAAATTTCTACAAAACATAAATAAATATTAATAAATAATGCCTATTTTATTTATTGCATTTTTAACAGCTTTACATACGACATAATACTCCTTGCAGCAACATTGAAGAACTAAATTAGTAGATCGTCGATAAAAAAAAAAATTATTCAACTTATAAACTAACTACTTACCGCGCCTCCTTAGATTTAACGACAGCTGAAAGTTGATCAGGATCTCCAACTATAACATATTTTTCTGCATTAAATAATGGACGAATAATTATTGGTTGTAATATTTGTGTACATTCATCGATAACGCAATAATCGAAAATTCGTCTTGATAAAAGTGGGTGATTTGAGCCTAAACATGTGACTCCAACAATTTTCTAAAAAACCAAAATAAAATTATTAACAACAAATTAATAAACAGATATTATATGATCTTTAACTTACAATTTTGTTGTATTTAGATTCCAATATTTCTGGTGTTTTACACTGTTTAAGTAAATTTTCATCAGAATATTCATGTAAAAGTGGATGTATTCGATTCTTTGAACCTAAACGTAAAAAATTTAGTCCTTTATTACGTAATTTAAGTAAAATATTATCAACAGCGATATGAGTATGTGCAGAAATTAATACAGAATATCCTAAAGTACTATAAAGTTCAATTAATGCAACAAGTGTTTGAGTTTTTCCTGTCCCAGGCATTCCTTTAATCATAACATAATCCTTAGTTTGTACAGCAGCTCTTAGAGCTTCTTGCTGATATTTATTAAGCCGTTCCATTATAATTTTGGCTTTTTTAGTTTTTAAACTTTCAGGAATCTCATCAGAAAATTGAGCAGGTATTTTATCAATAATCATTTCTCTTAACCTTTTAGTAATATTATTATCCGCTAATAAAGTAGCGACAGTACCAAGAAGTTGATATGGCATAGTCAATGGAGCAACAGCATCAATATGATAATATGTCTGTGTACTGAATTTAGTAATATTCTTCTTTAATGAAACTGTTATTGAATCTTTAGTTATTGCAATTACTTTTCCTGTAATAATATTAATTCTTGTACAAGTATTTATCATAATATAATCTTCAATAGCAAACACATCGTTAAAATTCTTTACAGGAGGCTTTATTTTTAAATCTTTTATTGAAGCACGTAAAAATGTATGATGAAATTCATTCTTTTCTTGCTGTACAGGTCCGTCAATTTTCAAATAACTTAAACAAGTACGTTGAGTTTCTCTTACTACAGGTTTTTGAGACCAAATAATTCGATTCCCTTCTAGACTCTTATTATGGGCATATTCTATCTGTAACATAGAAATCCATTGCACTACATATTCAATATGAGCATGAGTGAGATGTGCTAAAGCTTCTTTGAGAACTTTATTATAATGATGATCTTCTTGAAACTCTAGCTTAGCTTCTTTTGCATAAACACAACAAATAGTGTTGAATGGACACCTTTTACAACCTGCAGCGTGATTTATTGGTTCTGGTAATTCTGGTAATGTCCAAACTTTAACTTTATCCTTTATGCCTATTAAATTTTTTTCTACCTTATACGGGTCTCTTGATAAATAATAAGCTAAACTATTTCGTAAAAGAATTAAATCTCTTGCTTCATGTCTTGTGCTTTTGATTTCTCGCATTTGATTTTCTTTTATGTAAAGTAAAAGTCCTGAATTCAATTTATATCCTAAACTTTCCATCATCATACAATATAAATGTAATTGACCCTTATGTTCATGAGAGAATATTGCTCGTCCAGTTTTTATTTCGAGAGGTAATACTCTACGTGCGCATTTATTAAGACTTACTTCTACAGTGACATCAACTTTACCTTTTACTCCCAACGAAGGAAGCCAAACATCTTCCTCTATATCTCTGATACATTCAATTTTGCCTTGAAAGTTTTCATCTTGGCCTTCAGGATAAATTCCTAAGACATACCGTTTTAAAAATTGAAATACTTTTAACACATATTCATCAACCATTTCTTTAATTGCTTTTATAGTAAGATTTGAAGTATATAAAATTTGTATTATATGTGGATACTGTAATATCGTTTCAAGAAGTTTCCATAAGCTCTCTAAATCGTATATTTCCATTTTAAGTGCCGTTTGAAGAAACTCGTGCACTATAATACCACATGTCATGACTGCATCAGTAGCAGGAATGTTGGGAAGAGAATTAATTCCACTGTACTTTTGCAATAAGACACCTTTACGTTCACAAAATATTCCTTGGACTACTGTTGTACCTGCTACTAGTTCATCTGGTTGAGAAACAATCATTCCAAAATCATTATTTACCACAAATTCATCAACAAGTTTTTTTGCTTTAATTACAACTAAATCTCCCACTTTAATTCTTACATCTCTCCTGTAATGAATAAATAAAAATAAATATAAATATTATAGTTTAAAAAAATGTAATATCAATATTTAAAAAATTAATTAAGTATGGAAACATTGGCTCACCAACTTCCAGAACATGCAACTGTAGCACAACTAAAAGAATTTACACTTTCTACAGTAAGTCGAGTCTCTAATCGTTGCTTTTGTATATCAATAATTTTACATCTAGTAAATTCATGAAGATCCAAACCATCTTTTTCATCTTCCCAATCATCGCAATTAAAGTCAAAATTATTTTCGTATTGAATTTCTCCTGCACTTATTCTGGAATTCCCATGATTAGTATCTTTTTCATTTCCATTTAATATTTGACTTGTTCCTGAGCAATTCAAAGATGAAATCTTTTGTTGATTTGAGAGAATACTATCACCATGACCTGAATCAATTATAATTGTTTCTTCATTATCATTATTTTCTGAGAATTGAGATAACAATTCATTCATTAAAGTTTCATCATTTACATCAAAATGTTCATTGCTTTCATTCAATATATTTTTATTGTCATCACTGACATTGTTTTCTGATTTAATTATATTACTCGAATATCCATCATCTTTATCATTATTACTGATTAAATCAATGCAACTATTTTCATGAGAAGACATGTTTAAATCAATTTTTCGAATTTTATGATTAGATTTGTCATATTCACAGTCAATGGGATTTCTTTGCCGTTTATTCATGTTATTTTAATTTTTATTCGAAAAAGTTTCAAGCAAATCACACGTCTGTAATAACAGATTTTATTTTACAATATCACTAAATGATTAAAATAACTTTTTTTTAAGAAGTTATTTTTTTAATAAAATTTATTGTCAAAAGAATAATTGAGATTAAAAACTCGATAAATACTTGTATAAAAGTAAACTAAAATTTGTGTGCATAAATGACAAAATA